TTCATTAGGAATCTGTTATAAACAGGGATCCTGGTTTTCTCTGATTAAAAAAATCCCCAATTTTCAGGTTTAAAAAAGTAATCCAAAATCCACATTTTTCCATGATCAAAATGAAACACCATTGTGTGTGTATGAGTGGTGTTTCATTTTAATTATGGAAAAATGTAGATTTTGGATTACTTTCAGAAAAATGTAGATTTTCAGTTACTTTTTTTGAACCTGAAAATTGAGGATTTTTTTTTATCAGAGAAAGCTAGGACCCCTGGTTATAAATCCTTCAAGATTTCACATTGACCTATTTCTTCAAATACATAATCCATGTCTAACAGGTGTCAAAAAACAAAAAGAAAAATTGCACGTTACCAGAACAAGAAGCACATTAGTTCTACCCAGCTCCACAGCATCTATATAGATTGGGCGAGACTTTTGGTGCTTTAATAGCTGATTCAATCAGCTATCAGATAAAAGTACCAAAAAACCCCACTAAGGCATTTGATTTATACAGATATTGGGCAAACTGAGTCCAACTAACATAATGCCTCTTCTGGGCATGAACTGGGCTGTTTTGTTTTGTTTTTTTTTAAATGTCTGTAAGCAGCCTAAGTGTCTATCCTATACTTTTGGCACCTATCCCTTAGGTAAATAATAAAAATCATACTGAAGAAGTGCTTTTTAATATAAACAGCTCAATGTTCAGGTAACTCAAGCACCCGAGCAAAAAAATGAGAGAAAATAGAGTGTCTCCAAAAAATTAAGAAACCTGGGTTCTGGAGAAACAAGAGGGAATCAGTTCTAAAATGAGGACCTACCAGAGAACATCATGATGGCAGCTCCCTCTCATTTATACTAAGAGAGCAATAACTTTAAGTTCAAACACAGCTTTTGACAGAATATCCTGAGACATGTTAATTTAGAACCTAAACGACTTCGGACTTCCACTCAGAATTACTGGAAACTAGGACAGGTCACATAGCTTTAAATTAGAAGAGGAATTGGGTCTGTTTGACCTGGCTCCCCAGCATCTGTATAGTTTGTGCACTTCTGTGGGGCTTTTTGGTGCTTTTATCTAATAGTTGATTCAATCAGCTATTAGATAAAAAATGCCAAAAAGCCCCACTGAAGCACGTGAGCTATACAGACGCTGCGCAAGCCGGGTCAAACTGACCCAAATCCTCTTCTGGGGATGCACTGTACTCTGTGTTGGGGCATGCTGAGCTGAAAGTAAAGCACTGTTTTGTTTTGTTTCTTCATGCCTGTAAGCACCCCAAGTTGTAGCATTCTGTAGAAAGGTCCTGCAGGGTATAGCCAATTGTAAAACAAAGTATTGCAATCTAATTACAAGATGTCAAAGTTAAGGGTTATTGCATCAAGGCTCACATATTTGAGAAAAGGTCTCATTCTTTTTGTCAGCTATGGATTTTTTTTCTTTTTAAAAAAAAAAAAGCGTTGTTGGTCATAAACAGTCCTTGGATACCCAGGAGCAGTTTAGGATCTGTAGGCCCTGGAAATTACTAACCATTCATAAAAATGGTACTTGCTCTCCCTCATTCAAGGTTGCTGATATAAATTGTATTAATTTTTCATATTGATTCTCCAAGCTCATCAGTACTGTGCCTATCTTGTCTGGTTTAAGATGTAACCAAGCAACTCATCCAAGGCTGATGTTCATCTTGGCACTGGTACATTTAGTAAAAGCTCTCAATTAATCACTACAATTTTATTTTGTCCTGGCTCCCAGTTCCTGGTTTTACTGAAGTCCATTTTAAATTCACTTTATAATATTACTAAATCACACATGTTGTTTGACCTGCAGGAACCTCCTTAAAAAGATGATGTTTTTTATGTGTTTTTTGCTGCATTTTTTCCATACTTGCCTGATCACGAGTACCTTGAGATTGAAAAATTAAAGTACAGCTTTAAAAAAAAAAAAGTTTTAAGATCATTTTATTTTCTTGATTACAGGCCTCTACATTTAATCCAATTATCTCACTTTATGAGAGCAGCTTGCTGCTCACCTTGCCATCCACCTGGCTTAAGTTACTTCCCAAACAGAAAGAACGTCACCAAAATCTAAGAGAAAACATTTGATATAGTGCTGTAATTTCATCAACTTCAGCTTTATTGCTTTGACAAAATCCCTGGGAAACTTTAGATTAATCAAAAGATCTGGTGGTATACTCTCTGGAGGAGACCAGAAAACTAATATAATGACAAAGAAAGCTTACTATTGCTCTAGTGAAAAGAAAAGAATAATTCCTACTTCCTGGCCTGTTTTCTTAGTCTCTATAATTGAACTGCAGAGCTTCAGAATTTTAGTTGTAGCCATAAAGGGCATTGCAGCAGCATCTAGAATTCTAAATTGTTGGCCATTTTTTGGGTCTGGAAGTCAAGCATAGGAAAAAGTACAGGAAAAATGACCAAAAGCATTTTGTTTATGGATAATTGAATACACCCAGGGGTTAGAGGCAGCCATCTTGATAATGAGGATATCATTTTTGGCAAAGTGAAACTGACAGCCTCTAACAAATGTAAGCATCTAATACACTGAAGAAATGCTGCTTGTGCCTCTTTCTGAGATATGGTGCTGCTTTAAGACCATAAGCTAACATTCAAGTAAGGCTTGGCACTAACCACATTCATAGCTTAATCGCAAGCGCAATGAATTGGACTAAGGGAAGCAGGTTTGTTCCCAGCTTGCTGTGTGACCTGTGTGACTTTCCCTCTCTATGCCTTAATTTTCCCATCTGTGAATTGGAGATAATATTGACCTCATTTGTAAAGAACTTGCAGCTCTTCGGATATAATACACAATATAAAAAGTTTTATTACCTCACTCTTTGGCATTAACACACCCTTTATGGAATATGTATTAATGCTAGGAGTGGGAAAGACAGGGTAGACATATACCTACAGTCTAGACCCAAGTAATACCAGAGTCAGAGTTCTTGTTGCCTTCTGTGCAAAAGTCCATTTTGAAGAAAGGATAACGTTGCATTGAAGTACATTAATGAATGCTTACTGGCAACTATTAGATATTTTCTAGTAGTGAGAGGAATATATGTCTTAGCGTGCACACATTTTCAGTCAAAAGAACAAACTATGCTTCTAGCTTATTCAGTTGCAACCATGTCAATCGGGAATTTTTGTTAATTATAGTTGTGTTACAATAGCACCTAAAGATCTCAGCCAAGAATGGAGGCCCGTTGTTCTAGTAACAGCATAAAAACATAGTATTAGACCTGCTTGAAGTCTACAGCTAAATCTAAAAAAGGCAAAGCTTAGATGCCTAAAGTGCAAGCTGGGCAGAATTTAGACATCTAAGTTGAAGAATATGATTCAGAAAATTGCTACCTGGTTGTTTAGGCACCTATCTTTTTACCAAGCAAGGCATCTACTGTTCTGCAACTACACATACCCAGAAATGCTGCTGTTTTGGTTGATCTAAGCATCTCATCATCTGTCATTTCTGTTAAGATTTGTAAATTAGGTATTTGCCTAGCATTTAGGATGCCCAAGGGCCCAATCAAAGAGTGTGCTCAGAGTATGCTTAACAAACACCAACATCACTTCATTCTGCCTGAGGCCACCGCAGGCTTTTCATTTGACTACATGGACAGGAAGGACAGTGGTGATGCTGCACATCTTTTATGTAAATAGTCTAACGTGAGATAATTTCCCAGGCAGTAGAAGACCTGAGTTCCAGGCCCTCTTTTGCCTGTTGGTGTTCAAATCCACAGTTTCAACCTCTCAGGAGAGAGGCACTGTGTTATAAGAATAGAGGCACACCATTTATCCTTCTTGTTGAAGTTGTGCCAATGCTCAGAAAAGAATGTGAAATTCTTGTGGCCAGAGAAAAATGTGATGGCTCATTGCTCTATCCTGGGTTCAACCTTTGGGGGAGGAGTCCACAAATCTACCTGTCCATCTCGACCTCCATATCTGGGGAGGAGTCACCCCTCTGGCATCCAGTGATTACCAGTATTCTGGCAGGAAGCCAAACCCACCCCAAACACAGCCTTAAAACCAGCAGGACAGTAGTACACTATCTATAGATCACATCACCTGGTGAGCTTGGACCTGCCCTAACCTTTGAACTCTGTTTAGATTCTTGCTCTTTGCTCCTTTGCTCTTAGTATTTGTGTCTGAATTCTGGTCCTTGGCTTACTTCTACTATGATTCTCAGCTCTTGACCCTTTTACATTGCCTTGATTCCAGATTCCTGATTCTGGTTCCCTGCCCATAGCTAAATCTTTGGCTCCTACTCTGGCTTCTTAAGCTGACTTGATTTGTGGCTTCATGATTCTAGTCCCTTGACTTTGGCTAGTTCGTAACTACATCTTGGTTATCCAAACTCTAGCTTGACCACTGATTTCACACCCTGGCTGGGGCCTAGTCCTTACTCTTTGCTCTGAATAAAGGTTCCTGACCTTGGGCCTAGACTGCCCATGTTCTGGTCATAACAGGAAGCAAGCAGGAAGGAGTGTAATTTTGGTGCCTAGTGAAGCATTACATCAGAAGAGGAGTCCGAGCTGCAAAGGCAGCTTAGGTACTTTATCCAATGACTGTTGAATAAAAGGCACAAGTAATCCTGAGATCGATAATCCGAATCTGCAGTTCTGTTTGGTGAATGGTTCCCTCACATGCCTACAGCTGCAGGGTTCCTCTTGCGTTCTGTTCCTACTAGAATAAATTTGTATTTTCTTCTGAGTGCTTTGCTACAAATGGACAAAGGCTACATTTTCAATTCTAGCTATCTTTTAGAGCTCTGCTGCTCTTCAGTCATCTGCTAGCTTATTCAGGGTTTAATGGATGTGGCTAGACTCTATGCCTAGGTCTTCCTGCAATCATGAAACAAAGCCCTTGAGAATTAAGATGCAAAGAAGAGATGGGAAAGAAATAAGGATTCACACAATATATGCAGGGAAAGTACCAGTTACAGGTTGGTAATTTTCATTATTTGGATGTGGACATACTATTAATTATGCTTCTCTCTCTTACAGGAAAGTGGCATCTTGGGATGAACTGTGACACCAGTGATGACTTCTGCCACCACCCCCTCAAACATGGGTTTGATTACTTCTATGGGCTCATAGTGACCAATCTTAGAGACTGTAAACCAGGGCAAGGCAGTGTATTTGCCACAGGGATTCAAACATTTATTACCATGCCAATTCAGATCATCAGCCTCACCCTAATAACTTTGGAAGTGCTGCATTTTATTGGCCTTCTCAGAGTATCACAAAGAGCCCTAGGTTATGTCATTTTGTTATCTACAAGTTTTTTGGGAATTTTACTCTTTTTCTTTTATAATTTTCGATATCTCAATTGCTTCTTGATGAGGAACCACCAGATTGTTCAGCAACCTTTGTCCTACCAAAACCTTACTCATAGGTTGACAGAAGAAGCTGTGCAGTTTATAGGAAGGTAGGTTAGAACAACCATGTTATAATTTCATAATAGCATATTCTGTCATAGTGCTGCTTCTACAGGGAAGATTAAAAAAAAGGGTCATGGTGGAATGTCAACATACTTCTCTAATAGGTACCAAGAAGTGAAAAATAAGCTAATCTTAGTGGAAATGTGCCATTTTACAATAAGATTCATGTGGGGCACAGCTGTACTTTTACCAGTGCATCCACAGGTGACAGACAGTGGAATGACCTTCAGGGAAGGCTAGCTGTGAAATAAGCAGGGGTAAACTCTGACGAATAAGTAGTCATGGACTAAGCAACAGCAGCACCACAAAGATGTGGTGAGGACAGAAAATGCCACTGCTTTCCCTCCTGAAAAGCCACATATATCTTTTGACAGTGCTGTGACACAGCAAATATAGGTTGCCACTATAATAAGCCTGCCCAGTCCCTGGCCATGGGTAGACAAGTTCTCAATGGCACAGCAACCAGAATAAAGTGTTAGAATGTCAATGGCTCTAATGGCAGATGAAACCTGCAGTGGAACTACATCCCCAGTTGTCTTGGTCTCTTTGTCATTGGATCAATATCCCATTCTGTCAGGAGCCATGTGGAATCTGATGTGCAGCAGCCTGTCCATGATAAAAGAAGTCATGCACAGGCATCTTCCATGTAAACAACTTTTCCAGCACATTCCTCAAGCCCTTTGGCAACCAACTAATGGCAATGGGAGCAGGATTGTGCGGCTTGGAACCTCCTAGGCATGAACTGGCATGAAGGTGGTAGTTACAAGGTCATCTAGCACTTGTATGAGGCAGGAGTGGAATTCGGCAGCTGTAACCATGCCTGAGCAGCCTTCATCAGGATCCACTCTGCTCATCTGACATGGGGAGGGGGCTAGAAAAGGTGCCCTGAACATAGCCTGTCTAATACAGCATTCTGTATTTCTTCCTGATTGAATAACCATGTCCAGTGGGAATACCTTTACTATGGTCAAAAATACCAACTAAGACACACAATCATTTTCAGGACATGGAACATCAGGACACTTGCAGACAACCCTAACAGTGAATGCCCAGAGTGCCGCACTGCACTCATGACCCAAGAACTCAGGCAATACAACACTAATGTAGCTGCATTTAGTGAGACCCGGCAAGCAGGAGATGGGCAACTCAAAGAACGTGGAGGTGGCAATACCTTCTTCTGGAAGGGTAAACAGGAATGAGAATGCCAACTACATGCCAGTTCCAAGATAATCCTGGATCAATGTACACTTAAACTTGATCTAGGTTAGACTACTAAATGGAACTTTAGTATAGTTAACTGTGCAGCCCCTGGGCTGGAAAAGCCCAGGAGCTGGCCCCAAACCTAGGGCTGTGCTTTTCTTATCTGCTCCCTGACACCAGGTTATTTTTAGAGTCCCCCCCAGCCCCTCATCACTACTCTCACAGACCAGCCAGGCCCCACCCTGAATCCCCTATTCCAGTGGTTTATCAGCATTTGGATACCGAGAGCTGAGGAAGTAAGTTTTGATGGTGGGGGGGAGGGGGAAGAAGGGAAAGTTGGGGTAGGCTCGCCGTGGAGAGTTGGGGCACTAAAATTAGCCCCTAGTCCCACCCAAGCCTCCATCCCCTGAGGGTCCTGTGAACTCGCTTGATCCTGCCAAACCCTCCCGCACCCCAGCAACCCTGGTGGATCCCGCCTGCCTCCAAGAGACACTGCCTGCTCCCCAAATTCTCCCAATGCCTCCTGCAGATCACACCAGGATACCACAGACACTGTCACTCCTGCCCCCCGCATCAGTCCTTGACTCACACCTGCCCCTCAAAAAAAGCACTGGGGGGCGGGGAAAGTGGCACAGAACAAATAAAAATAGCATGCAACAAAACAAACGGAGGTTTGGTCCTCCAGTGAGACACTCTGGCTGCCAGCTAGAGCATTTCTACTACTCCATTTGTGCCCTTGCTGCTCCAGCACGCCAGGAGCTGAAAGAAACTGGGCACACATAGTTTGCCCAAAGCGGGACAATGTGTCCTGCAACAAAGAACACATGCAGGGGCATGCGTTGTGGCAAAAAAGTAGCAGTACAAATGTGTGCTGCTACTATATGTGCTACTGCAAGTGCATGCCCCTGTACATCTGGACGTAGCCATTGTGTCCGTATTTTGTGGTTTGACCCGTGAATACAAGTATAAATATGAATGAGTTTGGTGTACTCTGCCATCATTGCACTTTTCTTTCTTCAATATGTTTGAAATGTATTCAGGAACTGTAAGCCATGAAAACAGGATGATCTCCTCATGGATCCCGTTTCCCCCCAGTTCTCCCAAATGTGGACACCGATCCACCACAAGCCAGCTTGCCACACTTTCCCCCACACACTCCCTCCCCGTACCCCCACTAGCCTCTACATTTTGACTTACCTTAGATAGGGTTACCATTTTTAATGTGATCTAACCCCCTCCCCAAATGTTTGCACTTAGCCATAAAATCTGCTTCCTGACAAGTCATTTGTATTTTTTTGCTGGAGTGGCAGAAGATTAACCCTATTTGCCAAGTCATGCTCATTGTTTTCTGACAATTATCTATACACACCAAAAACTAAACCTAAGATATGTAGATTGAATTATTTGGTATTTACAGTGAAATAAATGTTTATAAAAGAAAAAAGGTCAGAATTACTAGAAATCAAATCATAGTTTCCCTAAGTGTAAAGTATATTATATTAAGTTTATTTTAACCCCCCTAACACTTAAAATGAAGGCCCAGAGTAGTAGTAGTAAAAGGGCTCATTATAAATAAACACAAGGACCAATGCAGTAAAGAGGGTGGCACCTCCCAAAAATAAAAAAATAAATGGAAGGGTGAATTTGAAAGATTTTGAGTTTCATATCAGGTTTAAAAAGTTTTTCATACTTTCAGCAGCTAAAACTTAGATATTTTGGAACTGAAAGTTCTCTTACAAATTGTATAAAAGCAATAGCAATACATTTTTGAGGGAGTTGTTTATGGAAGTATTCCAGTTAATGAAACGAGAATTCAACTGTTATTGTCAAATCTCCCTCCCACCTACTAACTGATGTGTCATTCCACTTCAAGGTCACAGTAGAAACAGTTGGTCATGATTCCTTCAAAGAGGTCTGAACAAGATAAATAGCTGCCTCTGATCTTTGGAAGGATATTAATAGATGCAACTGTTTTCTGTCTGGCAGTCAGCTGTCAATCAGAGCTTTTTGATTTGAGTTGACAAATTCTGTTATTTTTATGCCCATCTATATTAATCATTGATTTAAAACATCTTTATTTAAGGTAGGTCTTTTGTTTCTTAATGCCTATTCTTTTAACTGAACTATCTCTTGAAAAAAGCATTTTTAACAGACAGGTTGACAGTCACCTTTACCAATACTAGTTTATACGTAACACTGCAATAGTATTCTGTGACATTAGAGACTGAAATTAGATATGCAACTCAAATTGGCTCCTCAATATTAAGAACTTAATAGTAATATTTATAGCTTTTTAAAGCAATTGAAAAACTACATGAATAATATTCTCTATTATTTTCTCAATTATCTCTATCACTAGTGGTGCTCTTTGTTTTGTAAAGCATAAGTAACAACAATAATTTTCCAAACGTAAAAGGATACAACATCAAATATAGGCAAGCAAGTAGGTTCCTGGTAGAAATTATCTTTAATGAAAGCTGAAGAAATATTGCACTAGAAACATTAAGAAAAACTGCACCCTCCTCCCCCCTCCAAGCTACTTAATACAGTGGCTTTTCTGTGTAGCTAATATTTAATGAAGGTTTTCCCCTACAGAGTATATTCAATGCAATATTATATGACTAAATATCAAATATAATTATGTAAAACAATGCAAAATATAAGTTGTAATAGTTATACTTTTTCTTGGACTTTCCATAAACTTTTAATTTGACTTAGAAAAGGCCACTAAATTATTTGCTACTTACAATAAAACTCCAAAACTTGAGTGTTCACTTTTATTCCAACAAATGACAGATCAAAATGGTAAAGGATGGCACTAAATTACAATGTCATAAATTAATTTATATATCTGTATCTATATCCAGAGGCAACCCGAGCAGTGTGCAGGGCCCAGGACAAATCAGGCCATGTGGGGCTTGATCCCATGGGCACTGGACCC